ATGAAGCGTCCGAAATTTGTTGATTTTTCAAAGAAAATCCACTGTTTTTTGGTGGTCCTCGTGGCCGGGCGCAGATGCTTGAGTTGTGACGTGGGGTATGTTGTTGTAGGTGATCGGTAACGGCTCGTTTGGTGTGGTCTATCTCGCCAAACTCACCGACACCAATGAACTTGTCGCAATCAAAAAAGTGCTCCAGGATAAACGATTTAAGGTATGATTTAATTGAACGCTGAAAAGCCGGAGCGTTGAACGATCGGGCACTGATAGTACTGTCGCTTTTTGCTGTTGAGCTTCGTCGTAGTTTACTTCTACCCAGTGCGCATGTCGTTGAGGCGATTTGGGCATCATATCTGTACCGTATCTTCAAGCCAGCTTGTTGTGAATTCGTGAGGCATGCCAGATTTTATAACATATGCGATTCCTCTTATTATTAGGTGATTTTCAGTTTCCAAATATACAAATCTCATTGTTATTACCAGATAGCGACATATTTTGGAAGTGTTCAGCCTACTTTGGCCAGCAGCGTTTATTTTCCACTTAAAAAAAAATTGAGTCGATGGTCGGATGATAAAAGTTTCCGTGACTTCTAAGCTGGCGCTTTCTGTGGCCGCACAGGGAAAATAGCTTGCGAAAGACAGGAACCAACCCGCTGTTTGTTTAAAGTGGTGCTCGCATGAAAACATTAGGCCTTCTTGGAAGATTTTATGAGTTCGTCTGAAATCTTTATCTCTTGTTGCGACTACCTTTTCTTCCGCTTTCCTGCTGCGTGAGCTGGGGCGGAGACGAGGAGGGGGGTGCTGCTGGGGTCTTATGTAAAACAATAAATCTTCTGCTGTCGTTGTACTTCGGGCTTGGTGGTACGCATGCTCAACGCTGGTTGGTGGAACTGCTGGGTGCTGGATTAGCAGCAGATATTTGGGCAGTTTGTTGATATGCATCAGCAGTGCTTTGAGGAGTAGTGATAGGACTGTGCACTGTGCGGCTGCCCGCTTTGTATCCTCCCCGCTGTTGGTGCTGCTGGGCATTTCATCGGGCAGGATGCGCGAAGTTGTAACGCTTGTGAAGTGGCGAGGGAAACTAAGCATGGCGGGTCTTCTGAGCTGATAATGAGAGGTGCATTTTCAGAACCGCGAGCTGCAGATTATGCGTAAGCTCGAGCACCAGAACATCGTGAAGTTGAAATATTTCTTTTATTCTAGTGGCGAAAAGGTGATTCCATTCCATTCGAACGATTTGTTTACTGGTTCTGTTAGTTTTTCTTTGCGTTCGCATTTCCATTCCACAGTTCTGTGTTGCTGGTCTCGCACGCATCCCAGCACATCTTAGGCCGCCTGTTGACGCCACTCATCCATTTTATGTTACAGAAGGATGATCTGTTCTTGAATCTGATCCTCGAATACATCCCGGAAACCGTCTACCGTGTCGCGCGACATTATTCGAAGCAGCGACAGATCATCCCAGCTCTTTACATCAAGGTGCTTGCTTGCATTTCCATTTAAGGTTAAAAGAAAAATGTATGAATAGTGTTAGAAAATATAAGAAAGGATGATAGGAAAGATAAAAACGGGAGGGGTGTGAAAAAGAAGTATTAAATTAGGTAAGAAATGTTTCGGTCCACTAAGTCGTATACATTTCTTACCGTTACCACAATTGCACCTCATCTTGAGCGGAGTTCATTGTGAGCAGCAAAACAGAGCCATTTCTGGAACTACTTATGCACAGCTGCTTGCTCGCACAAGACTGTTGTTAGTATTGCGCTCTTGGAAGATTGCTTGGAGCATCTTTGTTGCTGTGGCTCTGTTCGGACTGCGAAATGCGTCAATTTGAGGTAATGAAAAGCTGCTAAGCTTGTTAGCTTGCTGTTTCAACGAAGCATCGCGGGATTTGTTGTTTCAGTTGTATATGTACCAGTTATTCCGGGCACTGGCTTACATACACAGCATGGGGGTATGCCATCGAGACATTAAGCCGCAGAATTTGCTGCTGGATCCGGATTCAGCGGTGCTGAAGCTTTGTGACTTCGGTTCAGCAAAGCATCTTGTCAGAGGGGAACCGAATGTTTCCTATATCTGTTCACGGTATGTGTTCTTGCTCTGTCATTAGATGCAACTTGCTTGAGATGGCCGTTAGCCATAATTTTTTCTGGCCATGAAATTTTTTGGATCCACTGAATGCCATGCACCTCTCAAAGTTTTTTTTTTTCTTTGACTTCTGTGTTCTGTAATATTTTATCAAATGCCTGTGGTCGTTCTTGACTTGCTTATACGAAATAGGAAAAAAATAATAATAAAATGTTTGTCCTAGACAGTTCGCTCAG